TGATCCTCCTAAACGTACCAAACTGATCCTCCTAAACGTACCAAACTAATCCTCCTAAACGTACCAAACTGATCCTAAACGTACCAAACTGATCCTCCTAAACTCACTAAACTGAGCTCCGTTCAAACATCCACGCTTTGTAATTACGTTACTGTGTCTTTGGGGAAATATATAAACACAACGATGGTCTAAAGAGAGCAAAGAGCGCTTCTCTCTCTCTTTCACTTGGCTTCTTAGTATTTTGCTTTAGGTGAGCTATTGGCTCTAACAGGTCCAGGTCCAGGTCCTGTGTAGTCTCTCAGGAGGATTCAAACAAAAGGCAGACTCCAAACCCCCCCGATATTCACACGCTAATGATGCTCGACGTGGTCGTGATTTATATAAAAAGTACACAGTGAGAGTGAAGATGAAGTGCTGTTGCAGTAAAAGAAGAAGAAGAAGAAGAAGAAGAAGAACCACTGGGATCTGTTTTCACATTCAGAAGACGTCCCACGGTTGAATACTGTAGTCATGGAAACAGAGAGGCAAAGCCGGCTCGTCACGGGGCTAAATAAGACCAACTCCTCCTCTTCATCATCATCCTTCTCCTCCTCCTCATCCTCCTCCTCCTCTTCCTCCTCCTCTGATACCCGGCCAGGACAGGAAGCCCGGCTGTGACCTGCAGGCCGTAACCTGTCTAGTAATTGTCATGTTAAAACAAATGAAATCGTTGTGCTAAATATATGCGATAATGTTGATGAAATGCCAACATTTTGTTTTGAAGCTCATATTATGATATAAATATCGACAGGACGATTGATCTCTTGAAAACCACATGAATCATAATCATTTCTTCAATAATATTGAAAAGAAAATCACACGAGATCCAACGTTTTCTGACCAGACTTTAACCTGCATCTTAAAAATAAAATGTCTTTCTTTATATTTTTATTACCTCGTGTTTCAGAGCAGAGATGACGATCGGCTGAACAGATTTAATATGTCTTCTGTCACTGATTTGTATCTTAAACGCTTCAAAAACGCAACAGAATTGATCAAATAAAATCATGTTACTGTCATTTTCTGGATGTAAAACACACACCCACACACACACACAGCTGACCACGAAAACAATCAGCAACAAGTGGAAATATTACACCGCTCCTGCATTTTGCAACACAAGTTTGTACATTCCTCCACGGGAGAAATAAACGCTTTTGACGAGACATCTTCAAGGACAGGCCCTTCCTCCACACGCACGCACGCACACGCACACACACACACACACACACACACACAGCTGATGCTTCTGAATAAAACCAAAATAAAAAGGCCCTCAGGACTGAAAATCTGGAGGGAAAAAAAGTCTGATTCTTGTCACATTCCATCAGACAAAGAGGTCCGACACGTTCGGAGTGAAGTCGAGCTTCAAGAACAGAAGAAGCTCACAGTTTCATCTACATTTCCTCCAATAGTACGAGGAAAGAAAAGGGAAAGAAATGGTTTGAAAGAAGGATAAACATCAATAACACCAGCGAGAGGAAACAGGATTTAGGAGGAGAAAAGAAGAAAAGGTTGTTTACAGTGAAATCCAGTATTGTTGACGGTTAAATCTGTGTTTTAAACAAAGACCTTTAAGACCGATTCATCGTGTTTACTTCTGTTGGAATAAACCTTTCAGTGTCATAAATGTTGGTGTACAAGAAGAAGTTTATTTAGCAGGCGCCACCCGACAAATAGCAAAATAATCAGGCCATCTGTTTGTTGGACGGGGAAAACGCTAGAGATGGGAATCCAGAATCGGTTCCCCTTGAGAACCGGCTCCTAGATGTCCGAAGGTGTCATAAATTACACATCTATATACTCCAGCAGAGACAGGTCCACCATGGACAGACCCAGATCCTCCAGCAGAGACCGGTCCACCGTGGACAGACCCAGATCCGGAGCTCTGGAGGGAGGAGGAGAGCTCAGCTCCCGGCAGCAGCAGCAGCGCCTCCTCCTCCAGGAGCAGAGCTTCTCCTCTCTGGGAGCCAACACCGACACCACGCTGCTGGAGACCCAGAACGTATTGCTGGACCCGCTGGAGGGAAGGGAGGCACGGGAGAACCAGAACCAGGACTGAGAGGGGCAGACTGTCAGACCCTGCTGCAGTAACATGAGAGGTTTTCTAAAGGGACTCTGGTGCTCAGAGACACTACAGCTTTATTCCACACGGACCAACAGAATCAACACTAAAAGTTCCTTGTAGCAGCTTTAAGTAGATTCCAGCCTTACTAACTGCCACCGTCAAAGACACGTGACCGCCTCATAATATTAAACATGTTTTCATCCATCTTTTCTATGGTCGGTACAGTTTACTGCACAACAACTGCAAGCGAGCGTCACCGCAGTAGCAAGCATTTGGCAAGCAAGCAGCATTCCTATAGACAACTATGGGGAAAGCTTCCGAGCGGAGCGGCACCACAGCGGCAATCCGTCTGCAGCTGAGAGACGACTCCATCGACTCGCTGTCAACTAGGACTGGGACTAAACCAGAGCAGAGAAGAAGGTTCTGCCCTCTGAATGTGAGTCTAAACCCGTCTATACAGAGCAGACAGAAGCGACAGGAAACTGACATGGAGCAACAGAATAGGTGAATAAAGCACGGATATAATAATAAGTAAATATCAAGAGTGGTATAAACAACTTTCCCAAACTCACACGCAGCTGAAAAACTCAAAAGTATATATATCCCAGCATGCACTGGGACTCCACATAGATACAATTTGAGTGAGTTTCATCAAACCTCCAACCTCCTCACACTTAATTGATTAATTGGTTTCTGCACTATTTCATGCCCTTTTTGGCCGATGCTAGTTTATTAATCGATACCGTGATGAATAAGTCTGAACACATTTTTACATTACTGCTAACACATTTTTATATGGAATAAACTATATTGTTTTTAAACTTATTTTAGGGGTGTAACTAACAAGTATTTATATTATTAATACATTATTAGTCCACAAAATATCAAAGAAATCAACATCACAAGCTCCAAACGTGAGGTTATCATGTTATCAACAATAATAAAATAAAAAACAACAACAAATATATTCAATATACAATTATATAAAAGAGAGAGAGAGAGAGAGAGAGAGAGAGAGAGAGAGAGAGAAAAGAGAGACAGAGAGACAGAGACAGAAAGAGAAAAGAGAGACATAGAGAGAAAATAGAGAGACATAGAGAGACAGAGAGAGAGAAAAGAGAGAGAGAGACAGAGACAGACAGAGAGGAAGAAAGGTTGTAATGATGGTAAATATGTGTCATTAAGAGATATTGAGTATTGATCACCTGAAGAATTGCTGCACAAATCCTCAATCAGACACAAGCTGTTAAAGCAGGTCTAAGTCACGCCCCTAATTACCGAATATGCAAATGAGCTCAGGTGTGCCATTTAAAAAGCAGATGAATTTCTTACCTGTTTTTCCAGCATGATCATTCTCTCAGTATCATGACCTTCATGGAGAGAGTGTTTGTGTCCAGTTCACGTCCTCCCGTTCAGACACACTCCTCCTCTGTCGGCATCTTCTTCTTCACGGATGAAGCAAGAGAGAGAAGAAGAAAAAAATAATAATAATACCCCAAAAAAAGAAAAAGAACGGTTTTTTGAAGCTAACTAGCTGGGAGGCTAGCAAGACAGCTTTACGGTGCTTTATTTTATCCTTGAGATAAATGTTCCTCACTGGCTCCAGTGTGTCTCCACATTCATATAAAAAGGAGATTAACGGGCGGTGTATTCATGGGGGAAAAAAAACAACCAACGGCTAGCTGAGTTAGCGTGCTAAGGGCTAAGCTAACGTTAGTGTGCTAGCAAGCTAAATCTCAGCAAAAAAAAATGTTTTATTTGTCTGCTCTTCGTTCATCGCTGGTCCGCTGTGTTCAAGTCCAATTTTTTTTAATGAATAAATACAACGGAAAAGTCTCCGACTAAATCCGCGCCCGTTGCTCGCACGACGACGACATCCCGGAGAGGAGTGGTCAGACTCCGGAGAAGATGTGGCTGATTTTGATGCTTAAATGGATGCTGCTGAAGAAAAGACGCTGCTGCTGCTGCTGCTGTTGCGGGCGGAGAGTGAAAGTGTGTCTCAGAATAACGACGCTCTGTGAACGCACCACACACGCAGAAGGAGGCGAGACATTGGACGCATTTGAACACACCTCAATGTATATTATAATGTAGTATATCTGTAATGTAATATATACTTAATAATAATAATAATTTCATAATAATAAATATAATACATGAATAATACAAAATAAAAATACAAAACAAATTCAAACTTGTATTAATTCACACATGTATAAATAAAAAGTTCTTAAATTAAAAAATAATTTTAAAAAATGCATTCCATTTAATTCTAAAATGAATTAAGTGGAAACAACAAATTAGAAATAATAACAAATATGTTTTTACTATTTCAAAACGATTGTAACAATTTTCTATTCATCCTTAAAAAGGAGAACACACCCCACCAAATGTATATTGAATATATACTTTTAATTCTAGCAAATGATAAATAGAATACATGAATAATATAAGATAAAAAATTCAAGCTTTTAATCATTTACATATATATAAATAAAAATATGTTTTTAAATTTAAAATTTTTTTAAAAATGCATGCATTTAATTCTAAAATGTATTAATAAGTAGAATAAAGGAATTTGAAATTTTACAAAATATGCACTTTTATGCATGTTTTTTTACTATTTCAAGACGATTGTAACAATTTTACATTCATCCTTAAAAATAACAATGATAGCAAGACTTTAGTTATAACTATTGATTAGTTTTTTTGTCAATTAATGTTTTACATATAATATTGACATTAAGTTTAGTTTATTGGAGAGAAGGGGCAGTGCAAAATAATAAATCCACATGATTAAATCTAGAATTAGCCAAAAGGCTATTTATTGTCTGTAGAGTCTGGCCAAGGTGTTATACAAAAACAAACAAACAAAATACTTATTTTTAAGTATTTAATAGCATACTTTTAATTTTTTTTTTAAAAGATACGTAAACTAACAAAATATATGCTTTTAAATCTGTTTTTATTCTATTTTAAAACGGCCTTAACAAATCCACATTCCTCCTTAATATTCGTAATAATTAGAAGACTGTACTTATGATTCCAGACCTTTATTTAATGCCCTATTTTCTCAGGGACACAGAAACGTATCCTCTCCCCCGCGGTGCATTCTGGTACTTTATGTAAATCCAACATGGCGGCCGCCTGCACCACCAGAGCGCTCCGTAAGGTCGGCGGTAGTATTTTGGAGTCTCCAGCCTCCTTTCTGGTGGGGAATGTGAGCGCTCGCGGGTCCAGGAGGACGTACGGTACCGGAGGGTACCGGTCCAATCTGCTGTCCTCTCTGCGGACCGGAGGGTACCGGTCCAGGGTGCTGGGCTGCACCGTCGTCCTGCTCGGTGGAGGTTTGGGTTTATACCAGACTGTGAAGTACAGGTTTCAGCAGCACCACCTGGCCGAGGAGGAGACCAAGGTGAGTCCGCTCTCCAGAGCCTCTAACGCGGTCACACTGTGAGCCGGTGTCCCGTTGATCTCCGCTGGTTCCGGAGCTCCATTGTTACCTAACTTCTGCTGACAGGGTCACCTGAACTAAGTCCTTCACTCCACCTACGTTTAGTATTGACAGATTAAGTTACTAGTTAGTAGTAGTGCCATGTAACTAGGTACATTTACTCAAATACTTTTAAAGTAGGCTACTTGTACTTTAGTATTTCAATTGTATGCAACTTTATACTTCTACTCCACTACAATTCAGAGGAACATATTGTACTTTTACTCAAGTACATTTGTTTGGCAGCTTTACTTACTTTGCATTTGTACATAAATAAATATACAAAAACAGCCACTTTATATGAGTGTACGTCAGACCTGCATCATCTCTCCTCTTCTGCCTCGCTCCAGGTCTCAGGAGGACGAGGTCTGGCATTGACCCTGTACCAGTACAAGACCTGTCCCTTCTGCAGCAAGGTGCGAGCCTTCCTGGACTACCACGGGCTGCCGTACGAGATCGTGGAGGTGAACCCGGTGATGAGGAAGGAGATCAAATGGTCGGTCTACAGAAAAGTGCCCATTCTGATGGTGGATAGTGACGTGGTAAGACTGACAAAATGTTTCTTCACCTCCGGTTCTGCCTAGTGAAGTCAAAGCTTCATGTGTTAAAGCTGCATTCTCTCTAGTGTCCACCAGGG